CGGTGAGTCAGGGGCTGATGCGCAGGATGTCCCGGGCACTGTTTTTGCACAAGACTACGGACCAGCTCTGCAAAGGTACTAAAGACCACAACCTTCTTTCGAATTGGGATCTGCTGTATGGGAGTTGAAAGTCCAAAAGCACACATGTCGACAGTTGCTCGCTGGGTCAGTTTGATGATTGGTTTACACTCGTCTTCATTTGTCATACAGGAAGAAATCGGCTGCTCAAGGTGAAAATGTCTGTGATTCTTGGTTTGCCATTCGCAAATTTTGGCACACAAACGAACATGAACAAGCTCTCGCTGTCGGTGCTCTTTTAGGGTTTGGGGCCCAGCGGGATTTTTGGCGCTGTTCAGGCGTGCCCAGGAGCACCAGTAGCGGCTGTCGGGAGACATCCAGATATGCCGAGGCTGCGTGCGTTGCAAAAGGTTCCACAGCTTTCGCTGACCTTCAGCCGTTTCTAGATCTCCTTCACCTATAGTAAAGCGCTGGGCCAGGCCACCTAGCGCTCGAACCTGCTCTGTTAAACGACTATCGGGGTTTGCATATATTTCAAGTACATCCAATTGAGGCTCACTGGGTTGGGAATACGTCAACATGGAGTCTTGGTACACATTCCACGCAGCCTCCTCAGCCTGTTGGTAGGCCTGAGCACAAGCATCGGCAGCCATTTGTGCCGCCTCGGGCAACGGCGACTCCAGCAGATCACTTGCAGAAGTCAGTTCCCGACGAAGGTCAGACGATTCGGGAACAGACTCAGAGGCAGACGCTTGGTGTATCGAGCTCGGGACTACTCTAGTCTGCGGGCTCTCAACCAGATTGGTCATGGCAAACCGAACTCGGGGCTTAATAGGCAATTGAAAACCAAGGGATTTCATCAGGGCTCGGTCCTCATCGGGCAACTTAGGTGTAGCCTTAAGACAATAACCTATTGCCAACACTCGATCACCGGTCCAGGGCGCAGTAGCATGCCAGCAGTGCGGATCAAGATACATGCAGGGCTTAAGAGCCACTAACGTTCCCGACACGGCAGAATGACCGCACAGGCGATCCTGAGCTGGTTGCCGAGCGTGCGGGGATTTGGCTACCCAGAGCTGACCACCGGTGTCGGGGTATTCTAGAGGTACTACGAGGTTCTGGAATTGTTCAGAGTTGTACACATCTCGATGAGGCTCAGCATTGGCATTGCACGACACACCTACAGAGGAGAATCGATGCTGGGGATCACTTAGGTGTATTAGGGACGTAAGGGCTCGAGTGATCCAAGGGTATTGTCTTGCTACGGAAGTGACTCCCACTATTCCTCCGTGAACATACATCCCAAACGTCACGTAGGCTAGGGGTCTCTTAGCATCGGGATTTGGGGCAATCACGGCGGCCCGGGCAGTACTTTCGGCAAACAGGTGCCACGGCACCTTTCGCAGGAACATGCGAAGCTCAGACAGCGTGGGCTGACTTTGCATCAGCGCCTTGGCGTGGTTTTCAACATCGCGAGGACTTACGCTAGCTTGCTTAACAAGATCATTCAACTCACGCTGACATTGAGCAACTTCACTCACGAGGAGCTCGGGGGAGCATTCAGCTGGCGGATGGCTGAAATCATTTCCTGCATCACTTGCTCCATTTGGGACATGCGACTGTTCAGAGTCGCCACTTGGTCCTGGAGCGCAGGCTCCTCCAGCATTTCCCAAGGGATCTCGGGACCGTCCTCGCGAGCACGGGCCTTTGGCGTAGCTTGACTCAACATGCTCGTCTTGCGAGGCTTGTCCGACTTGATCACGGCGGGTTCGCCACGTAGCTCGACCTCGAGTTGCTCCGCCTGGCTCACATATTTTTCCACGAAGTTGATGAACACCTTGTGTTCCCGTTTGCCACTGTCGTGGTAGTGATCCACGAACCATTTGGTCCAGTCGGAACCTTCCTCCACGCAGTCCATGAAGGTGCGGCCCTTCATTTTTGTACCAAAGTTCACCAGAAAGGCACCGTGCTTTTCGAGGCTGAGTGCCTCGATCTCGGCCATGCTGAGACTCATGGTGGGGTCTCGCAGCTTGACCAAACGAGTGCCGAGACTGGCTGTCGGGGCACGGGAAGTCGGCGCCTCGACATCTTGACTGCTCTGCGCCATGCTGGGGGGCTGAGCGAGGGTCGGGATTGCGGATTGCACAATTGAGCTTCGGAGCGGCTTGCGGGACCGCAGTTCGGCTCACACTTGCCTGAGCTGGAGCTGTATCTATGCTACCAGGTGTTCTCGTGGGCACCGGCAGGCATTCGTTAACGGCGCTGGCAACACTATGCTTCAACGCTGGTTTTGAATTCTCTACCCGAGGGCTTCTAAAGGAGCGAGGAACCGCTATACATCCCAAAGTTCTCTTTCCTATACCCAAGGGCTCACTAAGCATGCACGGGTCTTCGGCAGCGGGAACATGAGGCGGATCTTCGGCAGCAAGGGAATTTGCAGCCTCATGGTAACTTTCTTCACACAGCTTTGACAGGTCGATCATGTATAGCCCCGTTGGGCCGGTCTGCATCTGAAGCGAACGCTGAAGGCGGCGAAGTTCGCACACATCAGTCACGGTATTGATGACCCCTCCTAGCTGCTTGATAGCCTTCTTGCTGAACAGTAAAGGTGTGTGACCCGGTACCACCTCTATCCCTAGCCACAAAACCTGGTGATCCGTTGTTCCGAAAGGCAGCAAAATGCGGCAATCACTCATTAAGGTCTGATTGTTACCAAACCGAAACCGAATGGCACTCTTCTGCACCCGAATCTTGGAACGAACGGAATCACTCAGCTGGCCAATGAACTTCTGAAGCAAACTCTTGCCCATCACACAACGGCTGGCACCCGTATCAAGGATAGCTTCAACATGACTAGCTTGCTGGGCAAGAGTCGCCACCTCAGTTGCAGCACACCTAACATGTTTCATGTCAGGGCAAAAGGCATCAGTCGAGGCTGGTTCCCCACTGCTGCGCGGCCTGAGGGATTGTTGCTTCAGCAAGTTGTGGCGATTTTGCAGCTTTCGGACTAGGTTCTGGAGATTAGGGAGGACCGTCTTAGGGGGCACAGGATTGTACGTGCAAAGCGCCTCCTCCAAGGTCAAGGCATCAGCTGGCAAGCTGGTCAAAATCTCCTGAGTGACGGCTTGATCTGCGACCTGGGAGACATCCATGAATGCCTCGGCCACCGTCGTGGTGGCTTCGCTACTCGGGTTTCCCTTGCGGCGGGGACATTCCGCTTTCCAATGTCCTTTTTCCCCGCAGATCCGACAGGTCGAGCGAGCAATACGAGCCAGAAGCTGCTCTCGATGCTTGCCCTTGCCCTTGCCGCCACCCTTGAAACTGCGACCGCCCTTGGGAGCACCCTTGCTTCCTCCAATCGGCCAGAAGCCGCGGGACTTCTTCTTAGCGAGCAAGCGATTGCGCGCTTCCATGTAGCTCACCAAAGCCTCTTGAAGCTCAGGAGTATCCTGGAAGAAGCTTTCCAACTCCTCCTCGAATGCCTGAACCTGCAAGGCGTCTTGGTCCTCCGAAGCCAACATGGCTTCCATGAAGCCCTCATCGAGGTCCACTTCGGCCTCTTCGACGGCAGCGCTTGCCGTCATCGCCGGAACCATCTTCTCGCCTTCCTCCGGAGGTTCCTCCACCACATTGGCATCGTAGGTCCGTGACTTCATCACCCTCTGACCCTGCAGATCGGCAAAGAATCGGGACCCCAAAAGCCGAATCGATGAGCAGACCTTCTTGTAGTCTAGGCTTCCGCCAAGCTCCAAAATGATCTTCTTCCGATCCTCTGAAGTAAGCTGGGACTGGCGCAACAATATGTAGGCACGTACCTGTTCAAATGTCACGCTCTGCGACAACAGCTCCTCGAAGTGAACGTCATGTCTGGCCAAGTAACTATCGTTCGTCTCATCCTGCTTCTGGACGGTGCCGTACAAGGCCTTCTCGAACACGTCATACTTCGCCTCGAGGTCTGTCTTTCCCCAGGATCCACCCAGAGTAGAAACCAGAAGCTTGATCCCAGACTCATCGCTGCTCTTAAGCTTGTCTGGCGGTAAACTGGCGATCTTCTTGAAGGCCGTGCCTTCCACCTGAAGAGCTGCCCGCGGGGCGAGCAAACTCAAGTGTTCCTTGGGCCACATGGCCGCCAGGAACTCCAGCTTCCTGCTGTACTCCGTCACATCTGTCGTTCCAGGAATGAACTTCGGAATAGCCGCCCATGGTAACTGAAATCCCGCTGATCCCTCGGCCGTCGTCGGCCCGGTTGAGGCCGTCGCTGGCTGCTGTGTAGGAGGCATTGATATCCCGAAATGGAAAACCCAGAGGTCAAGATTGGATCGGCCGCTTTTGCGCAGATAGCGAAGCTGTAGGCTCCGCTACCAGTGTGAACTCCCTTGAGTTCACACCTGGTAGCTCGTGACCCTGTCACCAATGATCAAAGATCTGAAGAATGAAAGGTTCCTCAACCGCGAATCCAAGATCAAAAGAAGAAAGAGGCTGCCCTGCAGCTAAACGTTCCCCAGCGTCCCACGCTGTTTTCTCCAGCAGTCCGGCTCAGGCTTCAAAGGTCCATGCAGCACCCAGTGCTGAACCCTACCCGCCCACCTTCGACCCTTGGGCCTGAAAGGATAGGCGGTGCACGAACATGGCCACTCGCTCCTGTCGCAGCTGCAGCTCAAGATTTTCACAAGGGTTTAGGGTTGGGGGTTTGGGGGTATACTACTCACAGACATCTACACGCTAGTGCACAAGTAGGCAAGCGACAGAGAGCAGAAAAACATGGCCCCACATATATGTGTACACACACACACGTACATACCTGCATCTGTACCTAAACGCACATAGAGTCTTAAAGTGTAGAGTGGCGTATACCCAGATCTCCAAGGCCGTTCCAAACCCTAAGCCCTAAACACCCAAACCCGAAACCCTGAACCATAAACCCTAAACCGTAAACCCTAAACCCCTAAACCCTAAACCCCAAACCCCTAAACCCGGCACAGGACGGTCTCCTCCCCTTGCGGGATGAGAACGGCAAGGCGGTCGGATTTAGCATGCTCCTCTGCTGAAACAGGAGGGTTTGGGCTTAAGGGTTTAGGGTTTAGGCTTAAGGGTTTAGGGTTTGAGGTTTAGTAAGGTTTAGGGTTTAAAGGTTAGGGTTTGAAGTTTAAGGGTTTAGAGTTGTAAGTGCTGTCCATTAATTAGTGCCAAAACCTATGCGACTGCCAGGAAGTACCAGTATGATTATGTGGTTAGTCTTGTTACTACTGGTATTCATAGTATGTTTGGTCTCTTTGATGTCTTCTTGTAATATTAGTAGTGTAGAAATATCGACACAAACGATCACTCATTCTGTTAGTGGTGTTAGTAGTCTTGTTCTTCTTCAATCTTTTCTGCTTATTCGTTGTATTAGCTCGTGCTACTATTACCGTCTTTATGTTGCTTTGTGTACGTGTCATTGTTCATGTCTACTGTTTTCCCGAAAGCATCGCGAAGGGTTCTTCCGTGTGGAACGCCGCAGCTGAGTACATAGATGACAGACATAGAATCAACTCACTTGATTCCATACTTTACTCTACACTCTACACTTGATACTTGACTCTACACTTGATACTTACTTACTTACTTGACCCTTATGACTGACTCTCTACACTTGACACTTGACTCTATGATACTTGACTCTACACTTGATACTTGACTCTATGTTATGCTTACGACTTACTTACTTACTTACTTACTTCAATCTACTTACTAACTTACTTGACACTTGACACTTGACACTGGACTCTATGTTATGCTATCTCTATACTTACTTACTTACTTGACTTGCTTACTTATACTTACTATACTTACTTACTTATGACTGACTCTCTATGCTATCTCTATACTTACTTACTTACTTGACTTGCTTACTTATACTTACTATACTTACTTACTTATGACTGACTCTCTATGCATCTATGACTTACTATGACTTATGACTTACTCTCTACATCTCGGTATCTTAATATTTCTTAATATTGGCGGGGGTGGCACCGTCGGGGTCCATCGGGAATGCAACCCTTCCCAGGGATTCGCTGCCTCGGGCGTTCAAACGCTAGGTAAAGTGACACAGGCGCACCGCGCAACCCTTCCCAGGGATTCGCTGCCTCGGGCGTTCAAACGCTAGGTAAAGTGACACATTTTAGGCGCACCGCGCAACCCTTCACAGGGATTGCTCTCGGGCGTTCAAACGCGAGGTAAAGTGACACATTTTAGGCGCACCGCGCAACCCTTCCCAGGGATTCGCTGCCTCGGGCGTTCAAACGCGAGGTAAAGTTACACATTTTAGGCGCACCGCGCAACCCTTCACAGGGATTGGAACAGGGATTTTTAGGCGCACCGCGCAACCCTTCCCATGGATTCGCTCGGGCGTTCAAACGCGAGGTAAAGTTACACATTTTGCGGTTCCCGCGCAACCCTTCACAGGGATTGGAACTCTCGAGCGCCCAAACGCTAGGTAAAGTTACACATTTTAGGGTTCCCGCGCAACCCTTCACAGGGATTCGCCTCCTCGGGCGTTCAAACGCGAGGTAAAGTTACACATTTTGCGGTTCCCGCGCAACCCTTCACAGGGATTCGCCTCCTCGGGCGTTCAAACGCGAGGTAAAGTTACACTTCTTGCGGGCGCCGCGCAACCCTTCACAGGGTTTGGGTGCAGTTCAATTTTTTTTTGCAACCCTTCACAGGGATTTGCATTTTGCAACCCTTCACAGGGATTGGCGTGGTCGGGTGTTCGAACGCGAGGTAAAGTTGCATTTTTTGATTTGCATTGAAATGAATTTTGCAACCCTTCACAAGGATTGGCGTGGTGGAGTGTTCGAACGCGAGGTAAAGTTGCAATTTTTGATGAGCATTGAAAATTTTGCAATTTTGCAACCCCTCACAGGGATTGGCGTGGTCGAGTGGTTGAACGCGAGGTAAAGTTGCAATTTTTGATGAGCATTGAGATGAATTTTGCAACCCTTCACAGGGATTGGCGTGGTGGAGTGTTCGAACGCGAGGTAAAGTTGCAATTTTTGATGAGCATTGAAATGAATTTTGCAACCCCTCACAGGGATTGGCGTGGTCGAGTGGTCGAACGCAAGGTAAAGTTACACATTTTGCGGTGCCCCGCGCAATCCTTCATTGAGAGGGATTAGCTTCCTCGAATGTTCTAATCGGAAGGTGTGCAGGTACTGTTGCATGGTCTTTGGGCGCTGCGTGTAACCCTCTGCATGGATTGGCGTGGTCCAGGGTTGAAACGTGTGTGCAAACTACTACTTGTATCTTTCCGCCGTGCAACTCTCCACAGGGAGTGGCGTGGTCGATTGCAGGAACTTGCATCTCTGCGAGGTGCAATTGGCAACCCTTCAGAGGGATTGGCAGATGCATATATCGATAATATACGCACATATATATATATATATATATATATGTGGTCGATTGCAGGAACTTGCATCTCTGCGAGGTGCAATTGGCAACCCTTCAGAGGGATTGGCAGATGCATATATCGATATTATACGCACATATATATATATATATATATGTGGTCGATTGCAGGAACTTGCATCTCTGCGAGGTGCAATTGGCAACCCTTCAGAGGGATTGGCAGATGCATATATCGATAATATACGCACATATATATATATATATATATATATATATATATGTGGTCGATTGCAGGAACTTGCATCTCTGCGAGGTGCAATTGGCAACCCTTCAGAGGGATTGGCAGATGCATATATCGATAATATACGCACATATATATATATATATATATATATATCTATCTTTCTATCTATCCATATATAGATAGATAGATAGATAGATAATAGATATATAGATAGATAGATAGATAGACATATATTCATGCGCCTGTACGGCGCGTACGCTGTCTTGCGACGGCGCAACGCGCCGCTGCCTGGCCGATGACCTGCAGGCTCGGAGCTTCTTCCTGCTTTGTAGAGGCTTTCTCCTTGCACACGTTTGACTCGCAGGCTGCCTGGTCGATGACCTGCAGGCTCGGAGCTTCTTCCTGCTTTGTAGAGGCTTTCTCCTTGCACACGTTTGACTCGCAGGCTGCCTGGTCGATGACCTGCAGGCTCGGAGCTTCCTCCTGCTTTGTAGAGGCTTTCTCCTTGCACACGTTCGACTCGCAGGCTGCCTGGCCGATGACTTCTGCAGGCTCGGAGTTTCTTGCTGCTCTGTAAAGGCTTTCTCCTTGCACGTTTGCCTGCCTCGTTTGGCTCGAAAGGCAGAAGAAGGGGAAGAAAGGGAAAACGCGTTGCAGTATTTTGCACACATTGCAGCATCTTACTACACCTAGTACGCTTCCTTGCCTGCCTTGACGCTGTCTTGCGAAAGGGCCGGTGTGGAGATTATTCTCAGCTTATTCTCATCTTCTCAGCTGACCATACTTAGGACAGTTGTTTGCCCGCCTCGACGCTGTCTTGCGAAAGGGTCGGTGCAGACACTTTTGCATTTGAACATACTTGGGACAGTGTTTTGCTTGCCTCGACGCTGTCTTGCGAAAGGGCCGGCGTGGACGCCTTCTTCCATCCCATGGATTCGCGGTTGCAGAAGTTCCGCGCCGATTATGCCCAGCAGGGCGAAGACTGGCTCCGCACCGAGCTGGGGAAGCAGAGTCGGGATGAGCTGGCTAAGCTCTGTGTCGCTGCGGGTGTGCAACAGAAGTCTGCCGGGCACAAGCTTACCAGAGCGGAGCTGTTGGAAGCTCTATCAAAGAGCATTGCCGGGGAGCAGGCTTCATGGGGAAGCGGCGTTCTTGAGGATTGTCCATGTCAGCTTCGGTTGCAGTGAACCGTCAGCGTCGTCGTCGGGTGGGATGCTTAGTGCTCTGCAGTGAAGCAGTTCTTGGTGTCAGGCCGATGAAGCGGCCTCGCAGCGAAAGCTGCAGGAACTGCGCACGGGTTATGCCGAGCAGGGCGAAGCCTGGCTCCGCACCGAGCTGGAGAAGCAGAGTCGGGATGAGCTGGCTAAGCTCTGCGTCGCTTCGGAGGTGCGACAGAAGTCCGCCGGGCGCAAGCTCTCCAGAGCGGAGCTGTTGGAAGCTCTATCACAGAGCATTGCCGGGGAGCAGGCTTCATGGGGAAGCGGCGTTCTTGAGGATTGTCCATGTCAGCTTCGGTTGCAGTGAGCTGTCAGCGTCGTCGTCGGGTGGGATGCTTAGTGCTCTGCAATGAAGCAGTTCTTGGTGTTAGGCCGATGAAGCGGCGTCGCAGCAAAGGCTGCTCGAGCTGCGCACGGGTTATGCCGAGCAGGGCGAAGCCTGGCTCCGCACCGAGCTGGAGAAGCAGAGTCGGGATGAGCTGGCTAAGCTCTGCGTCGCTTCGGAGGTGCGACAGAAGTCCGCCGGGCGCAAGCTCTCCAGAGCGGAGCTGTTGGAAGCTCTATCACAGAGCATTGCCGGGGAGCAGGCTTCATGGGGAAGCGGCGTTCTTGAGGATTGTCCATGTCAGCTTCGGTTGCAGTGAGCTGTCAGCGTCGTCGTCGGGTGGGATGTTTAGTGCTCTGCAATGAAGCAGTTCTTGGTGTCAGGCCGATGAAGCGGCGTCGCAGCAAAGGCTGCTCGAGCTGCGCACGGGTTATGCCGAGCAGGGCGAAGCCTGGCTCCGCGGCGAGTTGGGGAAGCAGAGTCGGGATGAGCTGGTTGGGCTCTGTGTCGCTGCGGGTTTGCAACGACACCGTGCCGGGTGCACGCTTACCAAGCCGGAGTTGTCGAAAGCTCTATCACAGAGCATTGCCGGGGAGCAGGCTTCATGGGGAAGCGGCGTTTTTTAGGATTGTCCATGTCAGCTTCGGTTGCAGTGAGCTGTCAGCGTCGTCGTCGGGTGGGATGTTTAGTGCTCTGCAGTGAAGCAGTTCTTGGTGTCAGGCCGATGAAGCGGCGTCGCAGCAAAGGCTGCTCGAGCTGCGCACGGGTTATGCCGAGCAGGGCGAAGCCTGGCTCCGCGGCGAGTTGGGGAAGCAGAGTCGGGCGGAGCTGGTTGGGCTCTGTGTCGCTGCGGGTTTGCA